ACTACCACCACCACTACCACGACTACCACTACCACTACCACGACTACCACTACCACGACTACCACCACCACTACCACGACTACCACCACCACTACCACGACTACCACCACCACTACCACGACTACCACCACCACTACCACGACTACTACCACCACTACCACGACTACCACCACCACCACGACTACCACCACGACTACCACCACCATGACTACCACCACCACGACTACCACCACCACCACCACCACAACTACCACCACCACCACAGCTACCACCACCACGACTACCACCACCACCACGACTACCACGACTACCACCACCACCACCACCACCACCACCCGCTGCTCACCAGAAAGACGCCAGTGAACATAAACAAGAAGGATGCACGTGACTATAAGAGAGAAAAATAGGAGATTTTCGGGAGTGGAGGACGACGATCTCTGGAGCTGGTTACTGTGTGGTGTGGTAGTGGTGGTACACAACTGGTTGACTGTGTGGTGTGGTAGTGGTGGTACACAACTGGTTGACTGTGTGGTGTGGTAGTGGTGGTACACAACTGGTTGACTGTGGTGTGGTACACAACTGGTTACTGTGTGGTGTGGTAGTGGTGGTACACAACTGGTTGACTGTGGTGTGGTACACAACTGGTTGACTGTGGTGTGGTACACAACTGGTTACTGTGTGGTGTGGTAGTGGTGGTACACAACTGGTTGACTGTGGTGTGGTACACAACTGGTTACTGTGTGGTGTGGTAGTGGTGGTACACAACTGGTTGACTGTGGTGTGGTACACAACTGGTTACTATGTGGTGTGGTAGTGGTGGTACACAACTGGTTGACTGTGGTGTGGTACACAACTGGTTACTGTGTGGTGTGGTAGTGGTGGTACACAACTGGTTGACTGTGGTGTGGTACACAACTGGTTACTGTGTGGTGTGGTAGTGGTGGTACACAACTGGTTGACTGTGGTGTGGTACACAACTGGTTACTGTGTGGTGTGGTAGTGGTGGTACACAACTGGTTGACTGTGGTGTGGTACACAACTGGTTACTGTGTGGTGTGGTAGTGGTGGTACACAACTGGTTGACTGTGTAGTGTGGTAGTAGTGGTACACAACTGGTTGACTGTGGTGTGGTACACAACTGGTTACTGTGTGGTGTGGTAGTGGTGGTACACAACTGGTTGACTGTGGTGTGGTACACAACTGGTTACTGTGTGGTGTGGTAGTGGTGGTACACAACTGGTTGACTGTGGTGTGGTACACAACTGGTTACTGTGTGGTGTGGTAGTGGTGGTACACAACTGGTTGACTGTGGTGTGGTACACAACTGGTTACTGTGTGGTGTGGTAGTGGTGGTACACAACTGGTTGACTGTGGTGTGGTACACAACTGGTTACTGTGTGGTGTGGTAGTGGTGGTACACAACTGGTTGACTGTGTGGTGTGGTAGTGGTGGTACACAACTGGTTGACTGTGGTGTGGTACACAACTGGTTACTGTGTGGTGTGGTAGTGGTGGTACACAACTGGTTGACTGTGGTGTGGTACACAACTGGTTACTGTGTGGTGTGGTAGTGGTGGTACACAACTGGTTGACTGGTGTGGTACACAACTGGTTACTGTGTGGTGTGGTAGTGGTGGTACACAACTGGTTGACTGTGTAGTGTGGTAGTAGTGGTACACAACTGGTTGACTGTGGTGTGGTACACAACTGGTTACTGTGTGGTGTGGTAGTGGTGGTACACAACTGGTTGACTGTGGTGTGGTAGTGGTGGTACACAACTGGTTGACTGTGGTGTGGTACACAACTGGTTACTGTGTGGTGTGGTAGTGGTGGTACACAACTGGTTGACTGTGGTGTGGTACACAACTGGTTACTGTGTGGTGTGGTAGTGGTGGTACACAACTGGTTGACTGTGGTGTGGTACACAACTGGTTACTGTGTGGTGTGGTAGTGGTGGTACACAACTGGTTGACTGTGTGGTGTGGTAGTGGTGGTACACAACTGGTTGACTGTGGTGTGGTAGTGGTGGTACACAACTGGTTGACTGTGTGGTGTGGTAGTGGTGGTACACAACTGGTTGACTGTGGTGTGGTACACAACTGGTTACTGTGTGGTGTGGTAGTGGTGGTACACAACTGGTTGACTGTGTGGTGTGGTAGTAGTGATACACAGCACTGCTGCTGCTTCTGCTGCTTGAAGCCGCCGCTGCTGCTTGGGGTCGCTGCCGCCGCTGTGGCTAGTGTTGGTGGTGGTGTTGGTGGTGGTGGTGGTGTTGGTGGTGGTTCACATTGAAAATTGGACTAATGAGCCCATCGGGTTTAATGCCCCGCCGTTCTTTACATTAGTGAAAGAGTCACTGATAACGAACAAAGACCTTTTCTCCGTCACCCGACGCTCTCTTGTTTTGTCTTCAAGTTATTGTAGCATTTATTGGATTGATGCGCACTTCATTAGTCCGTAAGAGTCCAGTATCTCACAAATAGGGAAGGGTGGAGTGGGAGAGGGAGGGAGGGATGAGAAAAAGGAGCAAGGAGAGAGCTTCACTTATCACTCGATACCTTAACCATATCGATCATTGTCATTCATTTCGGAAAATTAAACCCCTGTAGGATAGTTGTCAGCGTATAGTTGGCTCACAAGCAAAAGGTCCCGGGGTCGAATCCCATGGCAGGACAGAGAAACGTTTAGACACCCTTTCCTGCTATCTAATGCTTCTGATTGCTCAACAGCAAGCAAGTGCCTTAGAATTAGGCAACTGTTGTGGGCCACATCCTGGGTAAAATCAGTAGTTGGTCCTCGGATTACCTTGATAAACACTAACATGTTTTCGGTTTCCTGAGAGTTCAAACCCAAAACCCACACAAATACACATTGGTGTTTTGTGCGTAGTTAATCAGTAAAATTTGTGCATGTTGATCAAACCGTTTATTGGTTATCTATGATAAACTCTCTAAATATAATACGTAGGGATATCTAAAAGTATCCCTACAGTCTAACACAAGCTACACCTCTACAGTAGCCTGGCACACAAGCTACACCTCTACAGTAGCCTGGTACACACCAAGCTACACCTCTACAGTAGCCTGGTACACACCAAGCTACACCTCTACAGTAGCCTGGTACACACCAAGCTACACCTCTACAGTAGTCTGGTACACACCAAGCTACACCTCTACAGTAGCCTGGTACACACCAAGCTACACCTCTACAGTAGCCTGGTACACACCAAGCTACACCTCTACAGTAGCCTGGCACACACCAAGCTACACCTCTACAGTAGCCTGGTACACACCAAGCTACACCTCTACAGTAGCCTGGTACACACCAAGCTACACCTCTACAGTAGTCTGGTACACACCAAGCTACACCTCTACAGTAGCCTGGTACACACCAAGCTACACCTCTACAGTAGCCTAGTACCCACCAAGCTACACCTCTACACTAGCCTGGTACACACCAAGCTACACCTCTACAGCAGCCTGGTACACACCAAGCTACACCTCGACAGTAGCCTGGTACACACCAAGCTACACCTCGACAGTAGCCTGGCACACACCAAGCTACACCTCTACAGTAGCCTGGTACACACCAAGCTACACCTCTACAGTAGCCTGGTACACACCAAGCTACACCTCTACAGTAGCCTGGTACACACCAAGCTACACCTCTACAGTAGCCTAGTACCCACCAAGCTACACCTCTACACTAACCTAGTACACACCAAGCTACACCTCTATGGAAATGAGGTGTAGAAATGAGGCATTGGAAATGAAGAGGAAATAAATGAAAAATGATTAGAAAAAGGTGAGGGTTTGGGGGTGAAGGAAGTAGAGAGGTGGGAGGAGTAAGGAGTCAAGGAAGAGGGAAGGTTAAAGGAAGGAAGAGAATGAAATCACTGGGGGAAGTAGAAAATAGTAGAGTAGTAGGGAAGGCAGAAAGTAGGAGGTTAAGAGTTAAAGATAAGAGTAGCTGCCACCATCCATTCTAGTCCAGTACATACAAGACAAGGAATGGAACTTGTCTGTACTCTTAAGCTGTTGCCAAATGTTAGCATGTATGAATTGGAATCATCTACTTGTACATTAAAATCTTAAAACCAGTGAGCTTAGAGGGCTGTCCACTGTAGCCTTCTAAATAAGAAGTTTTAAGGAACAAAAAAATTAAACACGGTTTAAAAACATAAGTTAATCTATTAAATATTTAACATGAGATCTTCACTCCTGTGGATATCGTAATTCATTCATATCTTTGGATGTTAAATGACAACAATAATATACAATGTGAGTCACCACACAAGACATTGAAGACACTACGACCGACTGCCCCTGAAAATCACACAACACCTTAAGTTGGAAACACACCAAATTTGTCACCTTAAAGTTCAACTCACCAAAGTCTTTGAGCCTAAGTTGGATAGAGGGGGGAGGGGGCTACAATTGACAGAGCCTCCCTCTGGCCTGGGGAGGCCAGTCAGGCAGTGACACACCTCTGGACCCTCTGGACCAGTGATCTATCTCACTCCTGCTCGATCTTTGATCCTCTGTGTCTGATATGATCCTGAATGCACAGTTCCCTGGATATTTATGGGAAATCCGGGAGCTAAGTCCTGCCTACTAGGTAGATAGCCTCAGGCCATCTCTCAACCATGCCTTAAACAGCAGCTTGTTTGAAGGACACACCCGGCTACCTGTCTGCAATTATCAGCTTAGCAGAGAGCAAGGTCACTTCACAGGACCTGACCCCTGGTCAACTTGTAGTCATTAACTTCTATAGGTGTGACTTTTTAATTGTTAAGAGACAGTCAATCTGGTGCATCAAATATCATGTATGACTGACTCATGTTCTATGTGAAATAAACTATAAAACACCTTTATGGTGTTACATCTACAGTAGCCTAGGACACACCAAGATACACCTTTACAATAACCCTGACAATTTAAAATTTTCTTTGTAATATTGTGCACTATTTTGCACTGGCTAATGTTTCTTTTTTTCTTTCAGTGACGAAGTTCATTCGTATTGGTATTGCTGACAAGAATGACAACCCACCATTCTTCGACAAGACATTGTATGAGGCTGAAGTGGATGAGAATGAGGACATTCAGCACACAGTTCTCACAGTCACAGCTAAGGACCTTGATGAGTGTAAGTACAATAAAATACAGTACCCGTATCTTGTGTTCGCCTGAAACCTTACGAAGAGCCTTTTAAGTGTAAAAGTGAAGGAAAATACGCAGAAGATATGCTAGACTATCTTAGACTTGCACACACTAATAGATGAATACACTAGGAAAGAAGCGAATCCAATATGTTGCAAGAAGAATGCTGCTGAATTCAGATTGCTATGATGTATTAACAAAGGTGAGGATTTAAGTGAAGTAAATGTATTATTCAAGAGAAGTGATGAAGGTAAGATGAGGGTGGCAGTGAAGAAGCTGAGCAAATGGAAATTAATCTTCGAGAATGAGAATTAAATAAAATGTCCGTACGATATTTCATACATGAATACAATATTTAGAATGAAAGCACACAAGGCAATTTAGATCACACCACATGATGGTGGAAGATATAAAGGTGGTTTGTGTGTGGTGCTATGAACCAATAATGGGGGCATCGTTTACCTGGGTTGTACACGTGATATTTTTGCAAAAGAATTTGTCAGGCTGATGAAACAGAAATATACTGACTGGTGTTTAGGGATTTTATTATGAGTAGGAATGATTAAAAAGAATACAGAAAAGAATGAAAATTTTGAGAAAACCAGTAGAAAAGATAATTGAAACAAGTTTTTTAGTACTGGGTTAATGAATGAAAATAAATGAAAGTGAAAGTTTGATACTGGAATAAATCTTCTCCTTGAAGATATTGTTCGGAATTAAGTTAATGAAGTGAAAGTAGAACGTGAATTGCTTGAACTAATTTTAGGGACCAAAAATTTTGCTATGAGCACTACTGCAGTGCGGCATGCAAGCAATATCTTCAAGTCTACACTCAGTTTGTAGGAAAATAACTTCAAGAGGCAGGTGTTCCTTAATCCGAGTTTGTTAGGGTTTGAGACTCCACTTGATAACCTGCTGAATAATTTTCACAGAGATTTATTCAATGCACTTTTCTTTACTTTTAGGATGTTTATGAGCCTTAAAAAGTATTAATATGTATTCGTTGTGTTTGAGAAGGTATCGTGGCAGAAGTCGGGAGCAGATTTGTTCAAGACTTCAATAAATGTGAGTAGGTAGCTTCATTACTTGTGACGCTTCCTGCTGCCATCTTCATTCCCTTCAAAGACAATATTATTTTCCAAATCTCTCATTATCTTTGAAAATTTATGCCCAAATGATACTTTTTTTTTATTTTATTATTTTTTTTAATATTGGTACTGGGCTTCTTCATTAAATTAAACTTCTTTCAAGGAGTAGTTTTATCACTTCGTAAAGTTGGCCACTTAACAATGATAATGCAGTATTTTGCACAGGGTGTGCCATTGGACAAGAAAAATACTGTTACTACAGCAATTTCAAAAACGTACTGCATTGTTTCATTATTATTTTATAAACATTCTTTAATGAGAAAATCAATAAGAGCCATGACGAGGATTTAAACCTATGCTCTGGGTACTTCCAGACAAACACCTTATACCACTACACCACGACATGGTCAAAAGCATTGCAACCTCGGATTCAACTAAATCCTCTAGAGGATAGGCTTCCAACTAAAGTCTAACCAGAGTTTCGTGCATTGCTCCCATGCATTCCTGGTCATAGTCTAGGAATTCTACCACCAATGCTTCTCTTCAAATGCACAAAGAAATCCATAATGTGATGCATCAATGAGAAAGTTGGTAGGAGCCATGAGGAGGATTAAACCTATGCTCTGTGTACTCCCAAGCAAAGGACTTAGACCACTACACCATGAGATTGTCAAAAGTAATGCAACCTGGGATTCAAGTTAATCCTCTAGGGGTCCTGAGGCTTACAACTAAAGCCTGACCAGGGCTTCATGCATTGCCTCTCTTCACTCTGATCATAGTCTTGGAGTTCTTTTCTTCAAACTCGCAAAGAAATCGCATTAACGCTATGCACTGAAAAACTAGAGGCAAATATTAAGTCTTCGATTGGGCAACTGAAAATAACATGATGTTTAACGGTGACAAGTTCCAAGTACTTGGGTATGGTGTAAACGAGTAACTTAAACAAAACACAGGGCACGGGACACAATCAGACCTACTCATAGATGGAAAGCAAAATGTAAAAGATATGGAAGTTATGATGTCTGACGACTTCACATTTAGTGAACATAACCCAGCAAATATAGCGGCAGTTAGGAAAATTATAGGATCTTGATCTTGAGGTATCTTGAGATGATTTCTGGGCCTAGCATCCCCACGGCCCAGTCCTTGATCAGGCCTCCATTTTGTTACACATCCCCAGGAAGCAGCCCGTAGCAGCTGTCTAACTCCCAGGTACCTATTTACTGTTAGGTAACAGGAGCATCAGGGTGAAAGAAACTTTTTGCCCACTTGTCTCCGCCTCCACCGGGGATTGAACCTGGAACCTCAGGACTATGAATCCGAAGCGCTGTCCACCCAGCTGTCAGGCTCCTCAGGATGAATTATGAGATCATTCAAATCCAGAGACCCCACTGCAATGCTAATACTATTTAAATCACTGGTGCTGTCCTGTCGCGAGTATTAATTGGTACTCACTTGCTCGTTCAGAGTAGGAGAGATCTCTGAATTAGAGAGAATACAGAGAACATATACGGCACACATAAAAATGATAAAACATCTAAATTATTCGGACAGTCTCAAAGCTTTCAAAACGTACTCTTTGGAAAGGAGACGAGAAAGGTATCAAATAATTTGTACTGTACATGGAAAATACTTAAAGGCCAGGTCCCAAAATTGCACAGTAGAATAACTATATACTGGAGTGAAAGATACGGAAAGAAATGCAGAATAGAACCAGTGAGGAGTAGAGGTGCCATAGGCACAATCAGAGAGCACTGTCTGAACATCAGGGGTCCACAGCTGTTCAACACCCACCCCAGCAAGCATTAGAAATGTTGCTGGAACAAAGGTTGATGTATTAAAGAGGCATTTAGATAAGTTCTTGCAAGAAGTGCCAGACCAACCAGGCTGTAGTGGATATGTGGGCCTGCAGGCCACTCCAAGCAACAGCTTGTTGATCCAAGTTATCACAAGTTGGGCCTGGCCTCAGGCCGGGCTTGGGGAGTAGAACTACTCCCAGAACCCTCTCCAGGTATGCTCCAGATATCAATGAGAAAATCAGTAGGAGCCATGAAGAGGATTCAGAACTGCTCTGGGTGCTCCCAAGCAAATGCCCTGGATAGGCTTCAGTTGGAAGCCTCAGGACCCCTAGAGGATTCAGTTGAATCCCACATTGCATTGCTTTTGACCATGTAATGGGCTATGCCATTTGCTTGGGAGTACCCAGAGCATAGGTTCGTATCCTCCTCATTTCACTTCCTGATTTTCTCATTGATACATCACATTAATGTGATTTTTTTGTGTGTATATTCTTTAATTTTCCAACCTTTGCTTCTTAAAATGATATTTGTCGTAATTCATACGCACTTTTTTCTCTTGTGGCATACTAATTTAATTTATTATAACTTTAAAACCATTCATCAATGTTTATTAAGTTGACTCTCGGCTGTGTTCAAGATTGCTTTCTCTTGTTACCTTGCATTTTACTGGACTGCATACTGTACTATTTTTGTTAAAATATTATGAAAAATATGGTGAATTTCAAATTTCAGTCTCAAGTATTATGTACATAAAAATTAACAAATATATATGTATTGTAAAGTACTGTACTGTAGTCTTTATTGAGACTGCACATAGTAAAAACAGACAGCAAGTTCAAAATGTAGAAAAACAGCATTGCATGTAATAAAATTCCAATTAAATTTCTAGGTTAGCCCTGGTGGCTCCCTGAAGCTTTCTAGCTCAGACAGTTTCCAACTGCTAGGTTGCGTCAGCCAGGGAGTTCTTAGACCTATCAGGGACCTGAGCTAGAACCTGGCCCCCTCAAAGAGGTACTGAGAGAAGATAGGGGATAGCATTCAGAAAGTCAGTGAACCAAAACAGACAATTGCTAGGTTCAACAGGGACCTTGGAATCCCCACACCCTGCTCACAAAGGAATCTTTTGCAGGTTTCTCACAACAAGATGCAATGAAAGGTGGTTTTCTTGGCAGGTTAGTGATTATTGAGGACATGCTAAAGAATTATGAAGAAAATGTTATTAAATTAGAACAAGAAAATGAAGATCTCAAGATTGAGTTGTGTAATTTAAAAGGAAGTATTTTCCAGCAAGGTAAGGAAATTACCAGCTTGACTGATAAGGTAGGTATGCAGGAGGAACTAGTAAAGAATAATGAGACATGGAAAGTGAAGAGTAGGGAATTTGAAGAAATTAACAAGAAAATACTCGTATGGTAAACAACTCCAAGGGACCTTGAGGGGCTAACATGGAGTTAGGCATGGAGATGCAACGAGAAACTTCATTGGCAACTCAAATAGAAGAGGCTAATAAAGAACTAGAAAGGTATAAAGAAGAAATAAAAGAGACATATGCCCAAGTTGTAAAAGAGAGAGAGACAATCAAGGAAGTGTGTTCGGAAGTCAAAACCAGAAATGATCAACAAGAAGCAGAAATTCGGCAAGCAATTAGGAAAGAGCTGGATACCAACAGTAAACTAGTACAAAACTCTGCAGACAGAAGTACTGTAAGTCCATAATAATTTTTGGATGTTTAGAGAAGGAAATTTCATCTAGGGTGAACCGAGCAGCAGAAGAGATGAAAATCATAGAGAAAATAGTAAGTTTAGGAGAAGGCTCAAAGAAAAATGTCAGTAATTTTAGAAGAATAGGAAAATATGAGAAAGACAAAAACCGCCCCTTAAGGGTGACGTTTAATGGAGTGAAAAACATGATGGAAGTGCTTAGAAATGCCAGGAAATTGCAGAGTGATGAGAATAGCAAACTTTGGTCAATAAGACAAGACTTCTCAAAGGAAGACAGAGAAAAGCTGAAAATGAACCTAATTGAAGCAAAATGTCTAAATGGGGATAGAAATGAAGAAGACAGAAATTCTTTTTTCTACAAAGTGTCAGGGACTGGAA